TTTGATTCCAGAAATGCAGCCACATGCCTGCAGTGGACCAGGCCAGAAGCAGAGGGGTTGAGGGCATTAGAGCATACCTCCCTGCTCAGCTGGAGCAGACAGCTTGGGCTAAGGCTAGCCTGCTCACCCTGTGGGGATTGGATGGGGGGAGAGGGCTGGGGGAGGTGCAAAGCATCCTGGGGGACTGTGAGTTAACTTGAATCTGGAGGGGATGTGGGACAGAAGTTCAATAAATCGATTTAACCTAAATCAGTTAAGTCTGATACTACACATACCAAGATTAACTTAAACTGGTTTTGGCTATTTTGAAAGCAGTTTACGTGCACTGAACTTCTGCTGTTTTGCACGTGAACCGGTTTCTGATCACTTATATCAGTTTATGCATAATTTCTGTCCCTCTCCTACAGAGGCCTCCCTAACTCTAGAATAACCTCAGGCTACATATGTTCAACTTCCTTTCATTCTTGGAAAGCAAGGAATAGCTATTCTGACCATATTTCAGTCTGCCCAGTATGCTAGAGACTGGGAGTGGGACCACTACATATCCTGGTTATTATCTAATAAGTATATCAAGAAAAAATATATAAATTACCCTGCCTGGAAGCATAATCTGTGTTATGCTTAGAGAATATTCCTGAAAAATGAAGGCAAATTGCAGTTTGCTTCCCCCTTTCCCCCATTTGTAGTAGTCACAAGTTTGTAACACATTTCATTTGCTTCTCTGCCTCTTCGTCCATAAGAGTGAAACCTAGTAATGTTCGTTAAGAATGACATAATTATTAAGGTACAGAACACAGGGGAGAGCCACCATCACTATTTACTTCAGTCTTAAAACAGGCATTTGAAAACTAGAAAAAAACGGTTTGCTCTACTCTTCAGGGGAAAAGACGACCTGATGATTTCCTATACTGTTTACTTCTGGTTTAGTTAATGTTCATCTCTGCCCACACCCGAGTATAGTTTTCAGACTTTTGTTCAGAAAAATAGGTTAAGATACCACCTGTGCCCTCTTCGGCTTATGTGTTGATAAACTGTACCTCTATGTTGGCTACAATATGCTTGGTTTCCTTATAAAATGTACCATTTGTTTGTATTACAGCAAAGAGGGCAAGGTCTTAATTCAAAATGGCAGCATCAAGCTTAACATCTAATCACTGAGTGTAGACGGACGTAACATCTGAAGTGCTGCAAAGCGTGAGCCAGACTGCTGTACAGGCACTTTGAAGTGCTCCAAAAATGGTGGAAGCATGCCAAAGCTAACCTTAAAGGAAATGAGCACTATTTAGAAGCCTCCTTTAAATGATGCACTTCCTGTTATGTATGTACACTCTACTTCTGGCTCCTCCACTATCCCATAGTGCTCCCTTCCCCTGCCTCCCCAGGGAGAAGGGGAGAACAGTGAACACTCTACTGTTGACTGCAGCGTGGTCATGTAATCCAGCCCCCTGCTCAAGGATCATCCTTAACTAGACCATCCCACCTACTCTGAAAAATGTTCAGGGATGGAGATACCACTTCTGTAGGAAGCCAGAAAGTTCCTAATCTCCAATATATGTTTCCTTTGCTGCAATTTGAGGCCATTGCTCTTAGTCCCGTTCCCTACAGCTACAGAAAAAAAAAGTCTTGTACTGGTGTGCATGTCTGTGGCTGAAACGCTCCATCTTTGAAGTGCTTCAAAGTGAAGCTGCTCTTTGAAACACTTCAAATGCTACATCTGTCCCTAACTGGTATTACCAAATGTGTTAGCCTTGGCAATCCAAAGGGATTTGCAAATCCCATTTCAAATGTTTTTTTCGTCTCTCTTCCTTTGATGCTGTGAGAATGGGCAGACTGCCTCGGCCTGTGCACAATTGAAATGCCTAAAACAGTGGTTCTGCAAGGAGCATCACAGCAGTCCACATTAAGAACCAGTAGAGCCCCAGAGGGCCAGTAGAGCACAGATTAGGCTAATATGCTCATTCAGGATCATGGCCTCATAGACCAACAGCAGCTGCACAGGGATGAGAGAGATAAGGCACAATACAAACAGCAAAGGATTTTTCTCTATTTTTCTTTCCATCCTGATGGCCTTAATGCTGGTTTCTTTTAAAGCAGCAAATTCAAAATTGTTAAGAGGACAGGGCCTTGGTGTGTTTGATTCCCAGAACCTGAGACTTTTTCTTTTCCATTCAAGCTCAAAACTAGAAAGGGCCTGGGAAATCAATTATGTTTGCCTTTGTGTTCATGTCAACCTTGCTTTGAAACCGTACTTACAGAAAATGAAACCATACCCCTTAGGGTTACAGGGTTATGTCCTAGAAATACAGTGAGATTTTATGTTAGTATTTAAATGAGGGAAATCTAATTATATCCTGTTCATGATCCCCTTCATCAAAACAACCATTAATCCACTTTGCAAGAAAAAATATCATTATCTTGTGAAGTCTCTTCGCGAGTCATTGTCAGTCACTCTAGCTTCGTTCCTCAGCATATCCTGTTCCCCATCTAAATGACGTATAGAGATACATAACAGCATGGAAGCAGAGTTTAGTTTGCTGATGTAATGCCCATATTTAATCTTTTTAAACATGTAAAATCAGAGTAAAAATTTCATTTGTCATACAGTACATTATATTAATCTTTCAGCAATGATCCATCTACAGTACTTGAACATCTGGCATGAAGTCTATTATCTCACCATTTAACAAGTGTATAACCAGTGACACAGTAAAATAATGAGCTCACAATACATGGCTAATGTGATTATTCAGCGGTGGGGTTTGTTTCTATAATTTTTTGTAGCTCAGTGAGCGTTTGCGATGCGTGGGTCATTTTAAACATTTCCTTTTAAACAATCTGTTTTTTTCATCAGAGTTCTTTTTCCATTATGTACACGAAGATTTAATTGAAATTGCACAAGTCAGAATATCTACCTATATGCATATATATTGCACCTAACTAAAATTTCAATAAGCGGTAGTTACACAGTCCTGGTTATACATTCCTAAAGGCTTAATAATAAAAATCTGAAAAGAAAAAAAATATGTGTATGTGTGGTAATGAAGCCTCTGTAAGAGGCCAAAATTCCAGGGTCAACTTTTATCTTCCACTTTTTAAAATAAGGTCTCCAAAGAAGCCACCTGAACTCCAAGATGCAACAAAACATAATGTAGTTGTGTCCTTTCAAAATCTGATTTTTTGGATAAAAGTTCTGTGATGCTGCAAAGCTAGTAATACTGGTGGAATGCAGCCTGCTACATGATGCGAGAGCCTTGAAAGTGTGATCTGGTTGAAAAGCTTATTCAAAAGGGGCCATTATCCCATGAGTAATAAAGTTGGAAATTGAAGGGTAGCTTTTGCAACACCACACCAGCTGAGGGAGGCTGGGGAGTTCCCTTCTTGAAAGCACAGAGGCAGAAAGGGATCTCGGAGTCATTATGGACTCCAAGATGAACAATGCCAGACCACAGCCAGCAAGGCCAGCCATACCTTGTCATGCATCCAAGGTGCATCTCAAGCCGGTCCAGAGAGGTGATACTCCCCCTCTATGTGACTTTGGTCAAGCTGCAGTTTGAGTACTGCGTCCAGTACTGGGTGCCGCACTTCAAAAGGGATGTGGCCAGCCTGGAGAGGGTTCAGAGGAGGGCCACCCGCTTGGTGAGAGGGCAGCAGGACAGGCCTTATGAGGAGAGACTGAAGGACCTGAACCTGTTCAGCCTCAGCAAGAGGAGGGACCTGGTGGCTGCCTACAAGCTCATCAGGGGGGAAATCAACAGCAAATACTCTTTTCTCCCCAGCACCACCTGGGGTGACGAGGAACAATGATAATAAGCTGATGGAGAATAGGTTTAGGTGGGAAATCAGAAGGCAATATTTTACAGTTAGGGTGGCCAAAATCTAGAACCAACTTCCCAGGGAGGTGGTCCTCGCCCCTACCTTGGACATATTCAAGAAGAGGTTGGACGATCACCTGCCTGGGGTCTTGTGAACCCAGCATTCATTCCTGCCTGTGGCAGGGGGTCAGGCTAGATGATCTGTTCAGGTCCCTCCTGACCCTAGCTGCTATGATACTATGATACTAGGTTGGGGAGTGCTGGGAGAGAGCTCTGCCCTCTGCTTTTTAGCAATGAAAGTCTGTACTTACCCTCCTGGCCATTTCCTGCTGGTGCTTTTTTGAGCAGTGCCATTGGGAATTCTGCTTTGTATGGTATGTGCTACAATGAGGCCGGCAATAAAAGTATATAGTGGCAGGGTTCCTGTCGATTTGTGTGATGCAAGTGGATTTATAGGGCCATACCCAAAACCCAGTACCATGATTTGGGAAGACACACTGACTTCAGTCAACTTCGAATCAGGTCCATGGCCACTTGAGATTTGATCCTGCCAGCTTAACAGGAATTCTACAACTCAGAAGGCTTTCCGGTTTGTGCCCTTATCATATCACATTAACAACAAGAGAGGCGAGAATCCATTAACAGAGCACTTAGTGTTACAAAATTCTAAAACCTTAGAGGATCAAATTTTGACATGAGTCCATTTAAACAAAGGTAACAGAACATTTTCCTTTGACATTATGTGACAGCAACATGACTACCTAGAACTTCACTGCTTTGGCTTTTTAAACGACATTCTGTGGCATCTATTCTTGCAGTGACTGGAAAAAACCCAGTCTCATAAAGAATCACTTTTGGAGACTGCAAACTATCAGAGTATAAAGTAGACCCTCAACATTTGGGAATTTTTGTTACTTACATGAATTATAAAAGGCTTTTTTTTTTTTTTTTTAGGGGGGGCTGGGGACTTCACTGCTTTGGCTTTTTAAACGACATTCTGTGGCATCTATTCTTGCAGTGACTGGAAAAAACCCAGTCTCATAAAGAATCACTTTTGGAGACTGCAAACTATCAGAGTATAAAGTAGACCCTCAACATTTGGGAATTTTTGTTACTTACATGAATTATAAAAGGCTTTTTTTTTTTTTTTTTAGGGGGGGCTGGGGGTGGGGGGAAATTATAAAAGGCTTTTTTTTTTTTTTTTAGGGGGTGCTGGTAGGGGGGGGAAAGAAATCAGAAAATCCAGTGGAACTTTGTCTACACAAAATAAAACATACAGATCTAATATTAACACACAAATGAAGGAGGGAAAACCCAGACTATGACAAGATGAAGGGATGTCTCACATTCCAGAATTCAAATCTCATCTAGCAGGCAAGCAGCAAAATGGTGTAGTGTAAGAAACAAATGGTCACAGAGCACACTAAATAATGCAATCCAGATAATTAGATGGATATACTTTTCCTGAAATCTTCCTCCAGGAGGAATCAATAGTCTATTACTCATCTAATAATTTCCTTTCAGCTGTCCTGAACAGTTTGAACAGTGTTCAGCAGCTTAACCGTTATCACACCATAAGAACTTAGTGGCAAAGAATAATCAGTCTAACTAGTACCATGAACAATTTCCTTTCGCTTCTGTGTGACATTATAAAGTCTGAACCTGACCCTGTGCATTTAGTGCCACAGTTTTTCTTAAATTAACAAATACAGCATTTCAATGCAAATTTGATGTTTTCTAAAAATTAGAAACGGTCAGATATTTAGCAATACACAAAGTGCATCTATTTGGTTTTGCCATAAATCACCATCTTTTGTAGATTTAACTCCTTCACAGTTTAAAATATTGTGAAGAAATTATATGTATATATTTTTTTTTATATAGAACTATTTATATACATACATGTATATACACACAACTCTGTACTTTATATGGTCATAAACACCCACTATGTCTCTATTTATATTATATACATATGGCATGTGTGCGTACTTAATAACGGGTTGGTCTAGATTGAAATCATTCCATCAAATTTCATGGAGCAAGAACAGTGAAACCATGAGTGAACCAAGAGCTTTCCTCACAAGTCCATATATCAGATGCAGGAAAAAACAAATAAATCATCTCTCTCATTTCCTTGGCAGTGCAGGATTGTTTCCACCCAAGTCCATGTTCCAACACAGCCATTATGTATTGGGTTTACATCAGAGGGAGCTGAATTTTTTATTTTTGTTGAGTGAGGAAAACAAAAAATCCTCAGTCAACATCTATTCAGATTCAGAGTAAACTCTCCAGCCGAACTGCAACAGACTATTTCAGATACATTGGAGGACTCTGAACGTTCAGCCGCTGGCAGCACAGCATTCTCACTCTGGTGTACTCTCTCCAACAAGTTGTACAAATATATAAATATCTGAGCACGAAATAGCTTAATACAAGGCAAGTCCTTGTACCATCAAGAGCTGAAGGCCTAGGGGTGAACTTTAAAGGCCAAGAGTTCCTCAGAGTGCATGTTGTTTAAGGAACGCAAGTCAGGTAATTTCAAAAGAAGTTTTGTAAAAATAGAGGCTTCATTTGGATGGTTTTTCATAATTAAGGTCCGTAGCGCTCGAATTAATGTTTCCTGCAGTGCCTCCACGGAGTTGACATTTTCTATTCCAGATCGATCTAAATTGAGGCGGGGGAAAGACAAATATGACTTGTAACTTAAAACCAGTTAGTGTCCAAATTAGCTAAGAGAGAAAGCAGTAGTATAAACACCCGAGCCAAAATGTTCAAATCTGGGTGCCTGCAGTGAGCTGTCTGTAAAGAAGACTGGTTCAGTCTTATGGATTCTGGGTCAGCAACATTCTCTCACATGCATTCAACCTGCAGGACGTCAATCACGTTACGTTTCAACACAACATCTGCTTACGTGCTTGGTTTAATAGGGATGGACATAAGCATGTGCTTAAATCCCTGCTGAATCAGAGCTTCTAGTACCTAAATGAAAGAAGCTTCTCTCTCAGAAATGGGGAGGCACCTGGCAGTGTCTACTGACCGACAGGAATCAGGAGTGCTCAACACTTCTAACTCCTTACTTAAAAGTCCCTGCTTTTCAGGATCCCAGTTTTAGGGTCTGACTTTAGAAAACTCTCTCTTTGTGGAACCTATTAATAGGTACAGGTGAGGCAGAACTCCTGCCACGCGTCTCATTTTCTTGGAGGCACATGGCATTCCAAGGTGTCTGTACAGGGAAACAGGGCTACAACGCCATCTTTCCCTCTATATTGTGGGGAAAAAGCTAATGCACTTCTGAAACGGCACATTAGCTGGTCCGCAGCTTCACCATGCTTGGGAGCTCATGTAGTACACACGGCTTTGTTCTGTTGTCCTAAATAAACTTATTACAGCAACAACACTGTAAAATGTTCAAAGTTTTAGCTGCTTTTTTATGACTCAAGTCAAATTAGCTTAGTTTTTAACTATAGAGTATACAGGTGATTGACATGAATGCCCCAATTCAGGAAAGCATCTTTATTTAAGAAGAGGGCTTAAAGATGTGCTTAACTTGCAACTACTCCAGCTGTTCCTGTTGAACAGGTCCCCTGGGATGCCAAGACAGGGAAATGTGAGGCCAGAAAAAAAAATAAATAAAACAAGCATGGCTCAGTAAGAGGGACAGGGCTCAGGCCCTGGGTTCCCTGGCTTGAATTCTTGCTCTCAAAGGGGAAAAAAGCCTTCCCCACTGCTTTCTACCCATCTTATCCAAACAATATTAAATACCAAGTGCAGTGACATAGCTTCAAAAGGAAGGCTGGAAAGTGGATAATGCTTAACCTGTGGCCTGGTGGCTATGGCACTGTGCTGGAAAGATGGGAGAGACAGCATCAAACCCCCTCTGAATCAGGAGAACCTACAGCCTTAAGTCTCCCACTTCCTCAGCAAATGCCCTACTCACCCAGCTATTGAGCACAAATAGGCCGCCCCCCACTTCATCTTTGCCTGGCTACAATTTTGGGATTTATGAGCACATGGAGCTGTGCACTGTGGGCAAAGCACAGCCTACTGCATATGCCCAGTAGCTTTGTTCATGGTTTAATTTAACCACTGGTTCATGGTTTAAACTAAACACTGCTTCTAATATAGATCCAGATTAGAAGTGAAATGTTAGGCAACTAAAATACCTATTAGTCTCTGAAATCAGGACATCAAAAGTATCTGATTCTCCCATTACTTGCACTGGTGCAAGTACCTTTACTGACATCATTTTGTAAAACTAATATGAGGAGGGAGAAATCATTAGACCCACTGTTTCCACTGTGGATGCTACTTCTTGTTTGCCTGTTGACACTTTTCAGGAAGAATACGTTAATATAATACAGTAAACTCTTTGGTAACCGGCACCTTACAAGCTGGCATGCTCTGTTAACCAGCATGCCGCCTTTAAGGAAAAGTGAAACCGGAAGCGCCCACTGCAGCACTTCCAGTTTCTCCGAGTCCCCACGGACCAGGGGAAAGCAGCCCGCGCTGCCAAGCCCCTACGGCCCGGGGACATGACATAGGCTGCGTGGAGCTGCGCGGGTCCCACCTCCCTGTCCCGCAGGGCCTGTGGGAGGGGCAGTGGGACGTGGCGAAAGAAGTGGCAGCTGAGGCTGCTCAATTAACCGGCGTATTTTGTTATCCGGCATTCCCCATTCCTGGGGGATGCTGGATAACAGAGCTTTTACTGCAGTGAGATAATTTTTTTTGTAAAGTGATAGTGATTTTTTCTTTTGTACAGGAAAAAGGCTAAATATTTTTCTTCTTCTTAATGGAAATTTGGATTCCACAGTAAAAAGAAGGGATCTCTAAACATCTGTGAATCAGCAGTGATTTTTACATTAGCTGTCTGAAAATCAGAGGTGTAAAAGTTTGTACTGCAGGCTACTAGAAATTTACATAAGACCCATTAAGTTGATCTATAGGGATTCAGTTAGGCTTGACATAATTATATACATTTTCTAGAAACCTTTTCTCTAACAGAGAATTGCTTTCAAGTTTTGACACAGATGCAGACTAATTTTGTATCCTTACCTGCAGATACCAAGACAACTGCTGTAAACAAACTCATTTCCTCATCACTAAGTTGCAGGGCATTTAGCTTCTCGCTAAATTCAAACATGGAATTGAGCAAATCACCGGCTCCCATCAAATGCAATTCATCCACGCTGTACTTCTTTCCACTAAGAAAGGTGACAGTACGTTCCTTTGCATCAAACAGAGATGCAAACCGTACCATTAAAACCTGGTAAAAGAGGAGAACAAAAAGGACATGGATTTGTGGAACATCTAAGAAGAAATTAACTTAATGAGTAACATTCTAATCAGATCACTCTTATTGCCTACACAAGTATCCTGTGTGGAAACTGACAATAACCCAGTTAGCTCTATGGAATAATGCAAGCTACAGCCCAGAATTGGACAGAATAAAAAAGTGGGTATGATTATTATTAAGCAGGCCGGAGGGAACAAAATAAAATTCAAACCTCTGACTGCCTAAGCCACAGAATAAAAAAAAAAACACTCTTCACAAACATGCCAGCGTGAAGGCTTGTGTCTGGACAGCCCAAAGTGTTTGTGATATTGAAGACTTTTTCTTTTGGTCCTATTTATGGGTAGGAAGGAAAGGTTCAAGCTGAAGCGTCATTTGATGTAAACTGTAGTTTCTCCATTGAAATAACTCTGGAGTGATGCCAGCTACTGATCTGACTCATCATGTGATATTTGTAAAAAATACCATGTCATGCCTGTCTTTTCACAGACTGTCGTGAAAAGGAACAGTCTGTGGATTTTGGAAAGGTTAAGGAAGCAGAACTTAAAATTGTATTTTGCTTGCAGTTACCACAAGGAACATACTTCTGGTATAGGCACCTACTTTTGAATATTTACAGTTTACCTATTAGGCTGAAATTTCACTTGCTCTCAGCTCCATTGTGATTTTTTTCCTTGCAGAACAGCTAGTAAAGTTCCATTTGCTCATGTCTGACCAACCTTATTTATGTTTTCCAAATGTACACACCTGCCTTTTCTCACAGTGTAATCTAAAACCAGCTTCATCTTAAAACTTCAGGTTTACTGTACTCTATGTTTTGATTTCCATCTCACTCGCTCTGTGTAACCACATTAATTTTAAAAGGATTTTACCACTGTCCAAGAGGAATTCTGGGTTTTCAAAGTGTTTCTTTTCACACACTTACAAATGCAGTTCAGAAGAATGTACCTGGAAATGTCATGTCATCCATGCACAATGTGTGACCTGCAGCTAAATTTAAACTGCACAGCAAGGTGCAGTAACCTGGTAAGAGGTGTGGAGGCTATGCTTGATAGTTTCACTTTCTGCACCCAAGCAATGTGTCCTGTGGTGGATCCTACTGTGGAGAGGCCTATGTACCACTGAATCCCTCAAAATAGAACTAAAATGAGACTTTGTGAGGCACATAGCTCTTAATTAAAGCCACATGGCTTTTTCTCACAAGGTGCTGAGTATCTATCACCTACATCATTTTCCATAGAAACTGAAAATGCATGGTACTTCATGGGACTGGGCTCTACAAGTATGGAGTCACTAGCCAAAAATTTCACCTGTTAATTTTTAGGAGAGCACTGCACTTATTCTGATCTTCGAAATATACCAGATGAGGACTTTGCTATGTAAGTCACAGGAACTAGGGCTGGAAGCGACTCTGCCAGGTCATCTAGTCCTAACCTCAAAGTACTACAAACCTAAACCATTCTGTCTAGAAACCAGTCTCAGACAGTTTTTAACTACCTCTGATGCTACAAACTCCCTATCTAATCTGTTACAGTGTTTAACTATCCTTACAGTTAGACTTTTTCTAATATCTAACCTATATCCACTTTGTTGTTAGAAGTCAATTTAATCCCATTATAAATTGATCTATTCCCAGTGGACAGTTCAGCCTGCAAGGGGCTGCTTGGCCCTCCCGCCCCATGCCCCACATATACCCACCTCCTGCCCCACACACTGGGGGGCTAGGGCCTGGGGGTAGTGGGCAGCTGGTCAGGAGCCAGGTGCACTGGGTTGGGGTGGCCATCAGCATTTACAAATGGGTCCTGGTACAAAAAATTGAGAACCACTACCCTGGCCCTGCCGATTTGAAAATGGAAATATATGGAAAATGTTTACTGATTGTTCTTGTAACTGGCATTAAAAGCAGATGAATGAGGCTTCCTATTCAGTCACGGAGACTCCAAAAAAGAAGATTTAATTGGAAAAGATGGTTGTTTTAAGTAATTCCATCTCCCCATTTGGGGTCTCATTTTGGGATAACCTGGGCATAGATAGCCACATGTAGAATATTTAACTGAGAAGAACGTCTTTTTGTATAACATGAGGAAGGAGTTTAAAGGCTACTGAAGAAGTGTTTGGGAGAAGAACCTAAAAACAACACCCTTAGCTGGGAAACAGTTCATTTTACAGCTATTGTAGGCAAGAATCGATACGTTAACAGAAATATAAGTGCCCTGGAAGAAGGAGCAGTCTAAAGCAAAGATACAAAAAACCAGGGACATCAGAAGCTGGGCCCCAAGTGTTACAGTTAACATGTACCTCAACCCAACAATAATCCATTCCAGAACTATGCTACATAAATATATTATAAATAAACCCAACACATTTCAGAAGACGACTCAATTGTTCAGTGTAACACTTCCAACTAACTAAAAAGTGATATGGAAACCAGACCTGTCCACAACAGTGACTTTGGATTTTACGGGGTCAAGTCTCTTATGCTCATACAAACTTAACTCTACTGGCAACAGTGTGCATCATACATACACGCAGGTAGGGGTGCACCAATAGAGATTTTCTGGGTTGATACCAATGGCCAATTTTTAAATGAGCCATACTGGCCAATACCAACCTGACTGCCGATATGTGGCCCAGCAGCTTGGAGAGCAGTGTCTGGCTGGTAAGTCTAATGTGGGAGAAGGGGCAAGGGTAGAGGGAAGGGGCATGGTGGGGAGCAGATCAAGGGCCCTGTGGCAAGGGAAGGAGTGGGGCTGGGGCAGGCACTGCCCAGCTGGAGCAGGGCTCAGGACAGAGCCGTGACTCATCCAGGGGGTGCAGAAGCAGCTCCCACAGCTGCATACACCCCAGGAAAGCATGGGGGGGGTGTGCCCCAGATCTGTGTGCAGGGCAAAGGTGGGGTGCTGCTGCAGGTGGGGGCAGCACCAGGCTCTTCCCAGTGGGGGGGCTGGGCTGGGCTGCACTTGGGGCAACTGCAGCCCTTCCCAGTGCTGCCACCCCCCGCCCTGAGTGCAGGCCCAGCCCCGCCCCCACACCAGGAAGAGCCTCAAGCCTGCAGCAGCAGCCTGCCCTTGTCCTGTGCTCAGATCTGGGGGCACATATCCCCCATGTCCCTCTGGGGTGCACGCAGCAGCAGGAGTCACTTCCCTCCTAGATGAACTGCTCAGAGCTCCGCCCCGCCCCAGCTGTGCAGTGCCGGCCAGACGCCTTACCAGCTGGCCAGATGCCTTACCAGCCGGACGCTGTTCTCCACGCTGCAGGGCTACACTCCTGTCTGCCTGCGTCCTGTACTGAGGCTGCATGTATGCTAGGGCATTACTGGCAACATTATTGGCCATATCAGCCAAAAAAACCTGATTGGTGATAATGTAAATTTGCCTTATGTTGATGCTGATACGATATGGGACCTACGTATTAGTACACCTCTACACACAGGCACACAAGGTAACAGGCCTTTTAATGAAGGACACAAATCATAATACAACATCAAGTATTGTGGATTTTTGCACCAGTTTGAAGTTACCAATTATACACAATACTTCAGTACTGACCATAAACAAGGTAACTAGAAGGTAAAATATAATTATAGTGAGTAGGGCAAAGGACCTTCTATCAGGACATAATGTGGCCACTACACAGTATTTAAAGTTTAGCAACTGCACTGTTGACTATCTGAAACAACTAAGACTTCTGTGACTGTTATACCATAGTTACTACTGGGACGACATCTGGTAGGGGTGGAAGCACTCTGACACAGGCTGGGATCCCTGCAGAAAAGCGCCCTTAGGAAGCAGAGGGGCCAGGTGCAGAGCTCTTCTGCAGGGCTACCAATTCAGATCAGATCTCAAAAGCAAAGCTGTTGCCGCAGACACAGTCCCTCCCTACTACACTTGCTTCTCTCTAGGCCAAGCAACTTGTTATAAAAACTGCAACAAGGATGATTTACTAAGCCTTGGGACTTAAGGAGGAGTGTTGTGGGTTGTATTTCTGGTTAGTCAAGAATTGGCTGAGGCAGACCAAAACCATAAACACTCCTGGACTTGGCAGAAGGTCACTCCTAGAACTTACCAACAAGGCTCTCCACCAATATAATTCAGCATAGCTCCACTGATGCCAGTTAGTGCCATGCCAGTTTATGCCAGCTGAAGGTTTAGCCCTTTTCTCTAAGACAGCAATATGGCACTCCTCTGTCATCATGTGTGGAGAAGTCCAATGCTAGATCCAGACACACTCATCTCTATAATGGACAAGACTGTTGCACAGCCTCTCAAGTCAAGATAAGAAGCTTGAAGGAAGTTCACAAGGCAGGGACTACAATTCTCACCTCAAAGGTTCCAGCCTTTAGAAGGTTGACCTGGTCATGCTGGGAAAGATCTCGGAACCCCGGGATACGTTTTGCAAACTCCACAACTTCTTTCACTGCAGGAGTAAAGCTCATGGAAAATTCTTCCCAAACTTCATGGCCAGATTTAGTTGGATCCACATAGGGAGTCTTGCTCATTGGACAAACCTAGGATTTACACACACACAAAATCTTACATCTATTTCAAAAGTTTTACCAAACGTTTGAAAGAGACTCTCTCATAGTTCAGAAAAGCATCACACTAATAACATAACAGATAAAATGTGTGTTCCTCTGTTAACTAATTGGTTAAACAAGAGGGGCTTTTATGCAGGTCCATTTAACAACTGCGTTTTAAAAAATTAACGTTGTCAGGTCCGGTAATTCATATAACAAAAGACTGTATCATGCAGGGGATCCATGGTTAAGTGTCCCTCTCCAATCTATTTTACTCTAATTTAACTTTTAAATTTTAATTGCAGGTACTCATATCATCTCCACCATTGCCCTACATAAGCATTTTACAATCATAAATGTATTTTGCTTCAGGAGGTCCTTGCAGGTCAAGGAAGTGCTAGTCCCATTTTACAGATGGAAAAGCTAACAAGTAGGAAAACTTAGTAGTGTGATTTTAGCCCAAGACTTTCTTTGGTTACTTTTTTACAGTTGCATTTTAAGCCAGACGCACTAACTTCATAAACTTTTAAAAGTTCTCCCTTAAAGAAGGGCTTAATTAATTTACTGGATTTCAAATAAACAATAAGTTGGAAAAGTGAGTTTTATCAAAGAAACCTTTGATATTTCTGGCTGCCAAATAGCCTATGTCCAATCATATCTTTTGCAGGTTTTGGCTGAAAATAGGTTATTCAGCAGCCAAAAAATATTGCCAGAAAAAAAGCCAATACCTGTCTGATTTCAAATCCCACACACAACTTAAAGCATTAACCTCTCTTTAGTAATTCTCTGCCACTACACTGTTCCTCTCCAAGTCCCAGCTATAACCCAAAATGACCCATGTTCAACCTCACTGACTAAATGCGTACATTTTGGCCCATTTTTATTAACAGTTCATTAAAATGAAAGCAGAGGAATACCACTGAACCCTTCACTAAAGTCAAGGTGAGCAAGAATAATTGACATCACTATACCAGATGCATTCTCCCGCCAGTGTTGCATGAGTAACCATTCATGTTCTCATTTAGAGAAAACCCATCTTCTGGAATCCTATCACATATTCTTTGAGTATAACTGTTGGTAAAGTTCATACAGTGGCCATTTGTCAAACAAATGGTGTGCCCATTTGGATAATGCATTACATTTCTCCCTTTGTACTGTCCACTGAGATAGTGCTCATTTTCAGTATAATGGATGTCATTAAGCCCACTGCTACAACGGTCGCTATTCAAACTATACTGTTCAGTGTTCTTTGGAATTCTCTCCCCATTGTGTGGCTGCACGGCCTCAGCTGGGTTTTGTGACTGTTCCTGGTTGTACATGAAGGTATCTTTGTGGGCTCGGGTCACCATACCAATCACTTCTTCCTTGGCAATGTCAGAGGGAGAAGGAGGAAGTGGTGGAGGTGAAGGAGAAGGACTTTTGATGTTCTGCTCTTGTTGGGGTTTGGATACAAGTTCTTCAGGTGCTTGCTCTTGATGTTCTGATAATGCTTCATTTGACAAGTGGCCATTGAATTGGCTGTTCATCATGGTCTTCATGGCACTTTGCATTTCAATCAGCATTCTCTGTTTTTCACGTTTAGGAATGCGGCCAAATCTAACAGCTAATGAAGAAGAAAAAACAACAGCACTTTTAGTGCTACACAATCATAACAAGTTCAATGGACTACTACTAAAAGAAAAGTGGGAGCTAATCCTTATTTCATTTAAATGCATCAGAAGTAACTTCCCTCGAATGTCCCTAAAATAAAGCTAGTATGAAATCAGAACTGGGTCCAAAGCCATCTTGTTATATGTGGCTATTTATAGGTAAGCAACAAAAGCAACTAAAAGTATGCTAAGATTGTTTGCATTGCTTTTTTCTTAGTTTTCCAAACTTGGGCGCAGAATATGTACAGAGTTGCACTGGCTTAGGCAAAGATGCAATTAAAACCCACTGTAGTTCAATCAGTGCATCAGGGGCTGCAAACCGATTAAAACTGAATATATATCAGATTATTTTATGTTTACAGAGGCAAGTAAGATAGATTAATCAGGTGTAAATGTGTGCACAGACTAGCCCACGAGGACTGAATTTCATCAAATAGAGTGATAACCAGAGACCCTGGTTCTCTCAGATTTAAAAAAATCCCCAATTTTCGGTTAAAAAAGAAACCCCAAATTCACATTGTTTCATGAGTTAAATGAAACACCACTAACATGTAGACATATTATATATATATATATATGAGTGGTGTTTCATTTTACTCACAAAAAATGTGGTTTTATTGTTAAAGGAAGATTTATGTTCTGAAGGAAAAATGAAGCCAAACAAAATACATTTTCATCACTTCATTAAAAACCACGGCCAGGGTGAGATTTTCAGTAGTGTATATAAAGACTTAACTGATCATTCATGAAAGCTATGCAACTCTGCTCGTTTCCTATGCCAAAAACCTCTTCCTTAAGCTCTACGCATTTAGCCAAGTTGATTACAATAAAAATACTATGCACTAATGGCCCCTATTAAAAGACCTTCTGCAAGAGCTTGACTGGGCAGTATTTCCTTCAGTTTAAAAAGAAAGTCTAACACACATATCCATACATAGGACACCAAGGGCTCCTACTCCCAATTTTAGCTATGCTACTGTAATCCAAAGAGGCATCATTGGCGCACACACAAATTACCTTCCCTATAGTAAAACTGAGTCTCTGACATATTTCAGTTGGGACACAGCCCAGGGTTAGGCATGTAGGCCTTGCAAAGATGAGCTTAATTTTTTGAATAGCTGCACCCAATGCGACTCTACATTAGGCCCTCTCATACTCCTAAGCAGCCATGAGTCTCCTTCTTTCCCCTCACAGCTGGTAGCCCATGAAGGAATGGCAGGTTGTGGGACCCATCTCACAACAAAAGCTCAAAGAACCAGTTACTGTAGGGATATGTAACCATTCTACTTTGAGCATATGTCAGCATGAATCCCAGTGCAGGTAAGTGGCAAGCAGCACTGTCTTAGGAAACTGGAAGGGAATAACAATTGCATTAGTCCAAAGGTTGGAAAAATGCACCATTCCTCCAAGCTTGTCACTTGATCTGGCAGCTAAGTTTAGCACATAATGCTTGGCAAGTAGAGAAGAGTGGTTCCATACAGCACAATTTCAGATGTCAGCACATTTAATGGCAGACAGAAGACAACTCTGGTAAATTAAACCTTAATTGCAATGGGAGAGGTACACTGTCCAACTGGTAATACATTATGCTTCACATGTTGATGGTCTTTACAGTGAAACAACCTGGCTCTTGAAACAGACAAGTAAGGCTACACACTGACTGTGGGTACAGTCTGGAACATTGGTGTGCGTCACTGCAATATCTAGATGGAGCTAGAGAGTGCAGCTTTTCCCCTGGAGTAGGGCACACTTTTGAGAAAAGTACAGGTAAGCTAACTAATTGTTTTAAGTGGGTAAGTAGATTTTATCTGTAGGTGTCCCAGGTGAGTCCATTACTAATGCCTTTGATGGAGCAGTTTGGGAACTATGGTGTAATCACCACTGCAGCTCCATGAGGCATTTGAGGATTAGTCAAGACAAGTTGTCAGGTTGGAATCTGAGCGACAAGCCATCAATACTGTAAACCCATGTGCTTGACCCTAAATATCGGTGCAGACACCCTCAGTGCCACAGAGACTTTGAAAAGCAGAACTTGGTCCCATCACAAATCTCAGGCAAATTGTGTAGACCAGCATTTTTCAACTGGTGGGTCACAACACAAAGAGTGGGTCGCAAAAATATTTGAGGGTTGCAAGCAGGTCCCCAGAAAAACCCGTGAAAGCACTGGCTTCCCTTTGTGGGCTGGTAGCATTCCAGCCTGCAAGCAGCTGCCTGGGATGACTGGAAGCAGTGGGTGCATGCACGTCTGCGCAGGAAGATGCTTGTGGCCAGCACAGAGTGAGGCCGGGTCATGGGAGCAGCCCCAGTTGCAGGTAAATAGGGGGATGGAAGTCCAAGGGATGGTCCTGAGGGCTTCAGGGGTGTATGTGTGAATGCGCTGACCTACTGGTGCTGAGGACGGTGGCCAGGCACAGAGCTGGGACAGGAGGAGCAAGGGGAGAAGGCACCTGGCCCTTCAGCGGGGGAAGGAGGTGGTGGGACGGGGCCAGAGCCCATACGCACAGGGACCCAAACTTGCTGCTCATGCTTTGGCACCAGTGAAACAGAGGCATCTGGGGGCCCCCTCTGGCAAGGCTGGAGGGGCAAGGGACTGAGGATTGGGAGTGATGGGCACAAGCATGGCCGGCAGGGCCAGGGGGTGTAGGTCAGGACAAGCCATCCATCTTGGCAAATGAGTCTCAGTATGAAAGAGGTTGAGAACTACTGGTGTACACCATGCAGATGACAGCAAAAAAGTAGCATGGACCTTCAAGTCAAGAATCATAAACTAGGCCTGAGTCTGACATGACAGAGGTAGGTGTTACTGTCCTGAATCTGCAGCAGTATAGGTATTTGCTCACAGAACCCTTTCTTTGCAATAAGAAAATATTCAGTGATGTCTAGAAAAGGGAAGGATCCTTCTTAGCTAATATTACCTCCCATAGGGAGCTGGTAAAAATGTAGGAGAATCATACAGTGAGATAAAATGACCCAAATGCAAGAGACAGCATCGCTGTCAGGGTACAATAACCCATCTCTGTATAAGCTTTATCATTCACTTTTGAGCTGAGCAACAAAAGCAGCATCATTGATTTTAAGAATGTCGTTATTCAACATAGGAACGTACCATCTCTTGACATTCCAACAGACAGACATTTTTTGAAGCGGCACTGCTGGCATCTGTTCCTATTCATTCTCATTATAGAGCAGTTGTTATTCTTCAGGCATTTCTTATATTGGATATTTTGCTGAATACTTCTTCTGAAAAAGCCCTGAAAACAAACACAAAAAAGAACCTCTTACTATAGATGTCAAATCCATCTGTTAGCAGATATGCATAACTTACGTACAGACTCATATACCCCTTTCAGAATCATCTGCCCTAGATGTCACTAGCAGCACTTTTACAACTTTTCATGATTGTTTTTTCCCTGCTGGCTGTTCTGAATGCACAAAGAAGTATAATTATATGTATGTATGTATAATGCAACAGTTAATATTTATTATATATTCCAAAAGTTTCCCCACATGCAACACTAAAATCCTTTTACAACAGAGAAAATGAGGGGTTAAGTGACTCGCCAAAGGTTGCACAGATTTCTGGAAACTGAATCCAGATCTCTTGACTCCCGGCTGTATATTTTAGCTACTAGGCCATTCTCTTGCACTGCATCTAAACAACTTTCCCATTCCAAACCTGACTCTTTTACATGTAATAACTTCCTTTACATCCTTGGGGATCCTGTATCTAAAAGTGGTCTTATTCCTCTGTAAATGTGGAGGCATGCAGTTTAGGTGTTTCCATGGAAAAGGACTGCACATATCCAAGCATCAACTTTTAAAAGAAGTTTGTGCATATCTTAAAATGTTTAAGATTAGCCCTCTGTGGCAGGGCACAGTGTGTGCCTGCCACTTTAAGGGCCAGAAGGCAGCAGCCAGCAGGTGCCTGATGAGGGCAGCCATTTTGGATCTGGGGCTGCCCATATAAACAGGGCAGTTCTGCTGCTGGAGGCCAGGCAATAACATTGCCTAGCCGCAGGGCTGCTGGTGTCATCTGGAGGTGAGGGAGGAGCTGTAGGGGATGGTCAGGAGGCTCCTGGTCCTGGGCATGACCTAAAACTGCACCCTGCCGGGAGTGGGTGGCCTGGTGGGGCTCTTAGTGGCACGGGAGCCCCCAGGACATGCCAGGCCAGTTACCACCCCTGTGAAAGGTGGGTCAGGGTGCCTTAACACCTAGTCCCCACGACTGGGTGGGTTACCCCTTTGATTGGAGGGCCTGGAAGGTGGACCCCCGGAGAGTGAGAAAAGGCCATAGACTCAGGCCTGTCCAGACTTCCCCTGACTGGTCAAAGCTGGGGCCAGGACCGGAAGGGTCAAAGGGCCAGGAGCCCACCGTGAGGGACACCCAGGAGCTGAGGGTCTGGGGTCCTGACTGGCCTGGAGGTGGGCCAGGGCTAGAGAGCCGAAGGTCCTGGTGGGGGGATCACACCCGAAGGGGAGGCAGTTCAGGGAGCTATGGTGCCTAATATGAAGGCGGAGGAGGCCGCCTGATGAGAGGAATCCAGGTGGGGTTCAATTAGGAGGATTCTGGGGCCTAGAGTGGGGCCAGTGATTATGATAACACCTAGATGCCATCTGCGAGGCTTGGGGCTGCGGTGTAGGGGAGGAATGGAGCTGCAAATAGCACCCCCTGGCATCGGGGCAGGAAATGGGCAGCCTCCCGCTCGATTAACATCTATTAAATAAATAATTCCAACAAGGCGTGGCGGGAGAGAATGCGGGCGGTTGGCCCAGAAACAGGTGGGTGGGCCATGGTTGAATTGGCCCTGAGCAGGCCCCCTGTTACACCCTTATTAGGTTAGTATAGCTACCTGTTCAACATCACTGAACATTCAATTCCTGCACAATACCAGTTATTAAGCAGCGAGTGATCCAAAAACTAATATTTCTACAGCAGAAAGGAGAGCACTATGACTCACCTTGCAGCCCTCACAAGCATGAACCCCATAATGGAATCCTGAAGCAACGTCTCCACAGACTTTACAGAGAAGGACCATGCCACTGAATTCTAGAAACAGAACAGAGGAAGGGGCATGAGAAACCAATGACAACTTCCCCTTGTAAAAACATATTCCCTTTTTTTTTTAAATCCATTCAGTAAGTAAGTTCAACATTCAAAAAACAAAGGGGACAAAACAAAGAGTACAGGAAAACCCGGCACTGCTTATCAGTTATTACCGCACGAAATATCATTGGATAAAATGGAGAGAACACATATACACTGGGCTTACAGTCAACATTGTATTCAATAGTAGAAAAAATAAAGTCTGCTTACATTTATGAAATGCTAAAAGGATCATTTAGGAAACTAGGTCACCAAAGTTTGGGTTCAATCTGTCTTCAGGACAAGGAAGACAATATAAATGTTGCAGTTTCCCCAACTGAGAATAAAGATATTTTCTTAAAAACAGAAAAATTAAAGGACACTGTTAACTTAAAAACCATATATTGCAAACATATCATTTACTTTAGTTATTTAACACAAACTTAGGTCCCACCCTATAACTGAATCCATATGTGTGGATCTGTGCTCTTGCATAGGCTGCTTACACAACCAAAAAATCCCCAAAACCCCCAGTGCTTTACCGAGCCCAGCACATGCCCAGAACAGACATCACATAAGCTTGACCTGGCGCACCCAACTTCTGTATAGATCAGGCACGTCAGCAGGCTTCTTGGTGCTTTTATCTAACACCTGATTGAATCAGATGTTAGATAAAAGTGCCAAAAAGCCCTGCTGAAGTGCCTGATCTATACAGACGCTGCGAAGCCAGGTCCAACTAATATGCTGCTTCTTTTGCTAAAGTCATTTTTTTTTCCATGTCCATCAGTAGCCATAGTGCTTACCCATTTGAATGTAATTGTAAATTAGGGCTATGCATTATAAAAGGTGAAATAATTATGCAAGTCCAATTTGCTTGTCACTGTTTATCCTCTGATTATAATTTTGAATGTTTTATTTCAGCAAAATGAATGAAAATATTTTGTGCTATTTTTGTATTTTATGCTACCACTAGTGTGGAAGCAGAGTTCAACAGAGGCTGAGTGACACAGGTGGTCAGGAATGCTTCAATTAAATGGTTTTCCCTCAGAGAATGCAGTTCCATTGAATTTCAGGTTTTGTTCTGATGTGGAAGAAAAGACATGTCAAAAAATCTTAAGCTCCTTTGTGAAGGAGATCTCCATATTCTGCACAGCTTTACTAAGCATTTAAAAACTCCCACATGTCAATTTTCTTTATAGAGTCAGTTTTACTGTGGAGTTCTCATGCCTTGATCTCCCAAACACATATGCATGTGACTAGATTTCAGTGCATGAGTAATCCCATTGAGCATTTCAGTGTGCGCCAAACTACTGAAAACAACAGAAGAGGGAATGGCTCTTACAAAGATCCAGGAGATGGAAATTATTTTTTTAACTTAAGTGGAAGGATTTTTAAAGTAACATGATCAGACTTAAGTGTTGACTTTATAGCGTCTCCAAATCATAAAATAAAAGGCTGTTTTCCAAAGGAATTCTGTAACTTTCAAACATAATTTTGCCTCAGAAATAAATTTAAAAGTTGTTTTCAAATGCCTTTGTTGAAATACTCTGTCATCCATACAACTTAAATATTTGTTATTCAGGGTTAAACGTTTTCCTGAAAAAATTGGAGGTCTCCTTCAGATTTTAAAAACTGCTTCAAAACTTTTTCTTTACTGCTGAACTTTTCCAGTTGCCAAAGAAAGTCATAGAACAGAAACAAAGTGAGCAGATACCTTTAAAAACCCATAGCGGAAGGGGAACTGCTTTTAAAACTTCCCAACAGTTTAGAATATAAAAGCAGTTGCAACTATGTGGTCGCCATTCTTGCAACTGCATGGCAATTCTTCTGTTGTATGCAGTAGCTAGGGGTGGGAGGCAGGGGCATCAGCCTGCGTGCTAATTTTGAACAGGGGCTAGAATAGCGCCCCCAAGGAGCCTGCACAGCAGCAGCCGCTGCCACCACTAGGGTCTTTTGGTCTCCAGGTCAAGTAAAATCCCACCAACTCTCTGGTACTCAGCAACCCATGTCCCTCTACTCTCTGCATCTCTGCCCAGGATGTCATTGCTCTCTGGTTATAAACATTTTCTCTGCTCAGCTGAGAATTTCAGCAAATAAAAGATGTTTCTTGGAGCAAACTTTACAAGCTAAAAGGTGATGACCACTTTTTTAAATTGATAGGAGTCAGTTACCTGACACCCCCTACAGGTCTCAGTTAAAAAGGGTCACATTTTTAACTATTTTTTTTCTGTGCAAACCTAAACCAGGCTCATGGACTGCCTCTTGGTTCTGTTTTCATACCATATGTAGCACCATGGGCTCCTGGGTCGTGGCTAGGGTGCTGAACTGCTATATTCATATCAGTAAGGAATAAGAATGGGCTGTTTCAGCGAAAGGGGCACAGCTTGGAACACTTGTATCATTTCCCCAATTGCTAGGATTGGAAGTGAATGGTAATATCTAGAATGTGCAGAAGTTGCCCTTAGTCCAAACAAAACCAGCTGCCAGTCTGAGTCAGCAGAGTATGACAGTATCCGTTTGCCTGCATGGTGGGGGTGAGATGGGACAGGTGGTAGAATGCAGGTTACTATTAAACATACTTGTGACGCTACTGTGGCCCTTGGTCAATCCAGCAACCTTAGACTGGTTTGTTTTAATGGCATCATCTAGTTGATTGTTCTTTGGTGAGCTGTCGGAGCTCTCGCTGCTCCTGCTGTTACAGCTGCTTTCAGAGGAGGAACTGTTTGGTGAAGATGGTACAGGCGAAGAGGATGACTGGAAACCACTGTCTGAACTTTCGCTGTGACAAGAGGCTGGACTAGATGCTGAGCTGGAGGAGCTGATGTACGCTATCACACCACCTGGAGGAAGAAAAAGAAAAGAACATAGTGACACACATGTACACAGCTGACCTAAGAACCTGACCCAGCAAGTCACGAGTTCTCACATGTGCTTCCACATTCATCCCTATTAGCTTTCAACCTGACCTCCACTTCTGCGCTCCAATCTACTCCTGCCCTCACAGTGACCTCCAAAACAGAGAATGATATTAGATAAAGGGGAGCAAGAAGGGGGGAAAACCACATGCAGAAGTAAGAAGCTTGCATCCGACAAGGCGGATGACAGACTCAGTGAAGGGACTGAAAGGGGGATGTAACACGATCAGACTCAGCAGCAGTGCTTCAAAACAGATTCGAGAGAGACATGCATGCTAGACAAAGAAGAAAGATGTGATGTTAGAGACAAAAGTGGAAATAATCTGCATTAGTGTTAGAGAGGAAGGGCAAAGGGTCAGGTTATGACCCTGAGATACGGAGAATGTCAGAGGTGTGTCTGGCAACGGAGAAAGATGAGGTGGGGTGGAAACAGAAGATAAGGAAGTCATTCCTACCCTACTTTTTTCTAGTAAGGACCATTTGTGATATTAATGATCCATGTCATGTTTTTAAATATGGCTATATGTGGCTTGTCAGGGCAGCTATTTACAAAGCTCAGTTGTTTTGCTTGTGCAACAGAGAGCTTGTTCATAGCCTTAAGCTCTTGAGATTAATTTGGTGGAGCAACTTCTTGTATTCTTTCAAACACACAAGTAGCTTTGCTATTTTTGAAGGGCTTCCTTTTCTACATTATATGCTGAAGAAATGACCCCTTGGGGGACATAACCAAAGAACCATTAAAGTTTACACTTTTTATTTATTTATTTTTAGAATCTGCCTATTATCTCTAGGATCTAATATTTTAAAAGCCATTACAAGACATTTGCTATTGGATATTGATTTTAAAAAAATAGATATTAAAAAAAAAAACCCAGTAAATGTAAAAGTTCACTATAAAAAGCCAACCTGAATTTAAAGTGTATATTTAATTCCTTCTCTTCTTCTCTGTTATTGTTTTGCTTCTTGTGAAAGGTCTCTGCACATATAACTTAATTACTTCCTAGACTAAACCAATACATACGCTATAAATAAATGAAGTTTCAAAACTGGCAAGTGACAGTATTTTGGAAGTGATTTAGTCTGTGGAATATTTGCTCAACAGAGTAAGTGGGTAAAGCTGTTCCTGGGTCATGCTACTTTACATTAATTGTAGCTTATTTGAAAGTGACAGCTGCCATTCTGTTCTGCTATGGCATTACATAATTCCAAGACCAATACTGTACTAGTATTACTTTCCATGAAAGTCAAACAGATACTAACTTCTAAATATCAGTGCTTTTGTAGCTGTAAACAATCTTCTTAATGTTTAAGATCTTTAATGTTAGATTTTGCTTTTTAATAATGGTATTAAAGACATTACAGTACATTCAAATTTAAATCTCCCATTGACACTGTAGAAGCTTCTTACTTCCCACTGCCTACCCAGCAAAATTTATAAAAAAAAAGGTTATGTGAACAAACAGGGACCTTACAAGGATCACTTTTCCTAAGCCTTTACAATGTGCATTCCTATACAGTTTTTAGTAACCACCAAAATCCATCCAGGATTCATAACCATCTAGAATATGTGAAGTGTATGTGAAGGAGCTGTGCTGAATATATGTCATGTTTTCATAATAGGAGGTGTGCACCAAAAATCTAGCCAAAAAAAAAAAAAGAGACACTGCACTAAAGTATTACATAATTCTTAATCATCAAACTTGTACTAAACCACTAGGGGCACAGGGCTGTGCATTTGCCAGGGCAGACCAAGAATTTCCCCTGGTATCATGAATACTGCTGCAGCAGCTGATTAATGACAGCACCAAGCTTGTAAAGGACAAAACACTCTGTTCTACCTGGGCTCCGACAGAGGGAAGTGAAATCCCAAATTGGACACATGCCATGTAACAGCAACAAGGAACACTAAACAAATATACCCAGTAGTATTTCTCCAGTTGGAAGAGACGCTCTCTCTATTCCAAAGGACAGAGAAACCTGAGATGCAACTCCTTCCCTGACTGTGATATGAAAGACAGGAAACAATTTAAGAATGTTTATACAGAAAGTTACCTTTAATTTTACCTTCCCCCTCACTTTTGAAAAGGAGCAGTCCCATTGGTTATCCTGAATACTCTTGCACACTGAAAATGTCTTGGACACTTGTCACACTACTATGAGATCTATTAATAAAAAAAAAAGTATCTTAGGAGACACTTTAATTCCCTAGGAATCCATTGGTCAGGACTCGTATTTCTTTGTATTTAATTAGAAGCATTAGGGTATAACTGTACTCCACAAGAACACATACACGTAGTGAGGAAGAAAACAATTTTCAGATAAAGGAGGTCCTTGATAGTGTAGGGGCAGGTCACATAGTACACGTGAAGCTGGCATTTCTTAAAATAGGATTTGCTAACAGTTAAAAGGAAATCAATGTTATTCACACTGAACAGTATTGTTGAAGATATGATGTGAAACTAGTTTCAGACACTCATTTTAATCAACTAGATAAAAGAAATATGAAAGGAAGTTGGTACCCTATATCAACTGTGTATATGGACATGTGTATTCAGAAGGAAATTATGTAACATATTAGTGACTTCTTGGCTATTTAATTTCAACTGTGACTTTGAGGGCACAGTTTCAACACTGCCTGCTGGAGGGATGCTATTTGGTTACTTTTTAATCCATTTTAAGCTCACTGTTACAAGGATTCACATTATTTTCTTCTATATTTGTCCTTTCCCCATTTCATTTCTGCTCTCTTCATTTGTAAAACTTTTTATGCCAAACAGAACTTTAATCAAGAAAAAAAAAATGTTATGGGCTGTTTCTCCAGCACAGTTTTCTAAATGTTAATGATCACCACACAGTTTAATACAATGACAAAGAGAGCAAGAGAAATTCTTCAAAAACACCCAAACTGGCAAATTTTTAAATTCTACATTCTTCCTCAAATAATTTATAGATTTCCAGCCAGACTATGTGCTAAGCAACTATGGGCAAAGCAAATCCCTCCATCCTCACTGAATGCAACTGTGCTTCAAAAGTCCTGGAATGGGAGAGCAAGCTAACTAGACACCCTCTGTTTTATTAGAGCCATTTCACTTACATTTGCTGTGCGTGTGAGAGGAGAGAGAGGGGGACAGTGCATCCTTATATAAAGTCACTTTCCTGAGAGAAGTTGTTTTCTACTCAAACAAAAACTCCCTCCAACTTCCACACTGCTCAGATAAAGGATGAAATCATTCTAATTCCCATACTCCCAGCAATGCTCAACATCCTGTTATGCAACACGTTAAAAACCCCCTTGGTGTCAAACCAGCTGACACACTACTCCTTAAGTCAGCTGAGGCGTGTCTACCACCCTTTTTCAACTTAAGATCCCTGCTGCTGCAAAAGTCCATACACGTGAGGGGACTACAAAGCAATAGGTGTTTTCAGCACATGTACGGGCCCCTGACCACCAGGCCACAATGCAACAAATCAAACGCAGCTGCCACAAGTTCTCATGATCAGTCACAAGTAGTAGTTGGCATCTTTAATGCACCAGAGGAAATAGTCAACTGTTCAAATTGGGGAGTAATTGGCATCATCATCACAGCTGGCCCCATTCTCTCTCCCAGCCACTTTCACCCCCTTCCATGCTGCAGAGCGGTGGCAGCTGCAACAGCTGCTCCCCTTGCGGCCCGGAGAAAGGCTGAGCCCTGCTGCACTGCAGCACGACCCCGCGTTCACCTCTGCGGAAACAGGAACCGCGCCCCTTTACAACGCTGGCGACCTCCCCTTGTTGCAACGTTTTAACCCCGCCCCCGGCGGAACGCTCGGCCCTCCCCGGCGCCGCAGCGCAAGGCCGAGGGGCAGCACTGGGGCGAGGCGAGGCCGGGACGCCGCAGCCCCCCCGCGGGCGTCCCGGCAGGCGTGGCCGACAAA